GATTGTGAACCACTCACAAACACCCATGCTACCGCCAGGATTCGAACATGAAGCTTGTGGTACCAAAGGCCAAAGCGCTAGCCAATTGGCCACCAAGCCGCGCATTATAGAAACATGTGTATGTCATATCACCAAAGAAAATGCATAATGTTTCTATGAATGTGATGCCACACCGGACAAATGTGATTTTGAATGTTGTAGTGTGTATTGACGGAATTAGCCATTCATCTGCGTGGTTTATTATCTAATGTAACACATAGTTGTTCAAATGATAACTTCATCTGGTGGACAAAAATGAAATATTCTAGCCTAATTTATTACTAGTACGAGAAAAAATAAGTTCTTCATTTCCTTTCTATGCAAACAACATCGTTTTATCTTTTTATTAGTTTCGAATTATTAATTTTTAAATTTTGTCGTGATATTCACGAAATTGACGTAAAACATATTTTTATTAATATAACGTATATGCATTATTTATTTTGTTTCAATTACATTATTTATATTGTTTTAATTATATTTAATCGATTACATTTATATTTATATACAATTGTATTGAAATTATCCATTTTTCTTATTTGTCCCACCTAATTTATTGATGCATTCAAAAATATCCTTAAGACATTTATGAAAAAACGAATACACGCAGTCGGCAGGATTCGAACCTGCGCGGGAAGATCCCAATGGATTTCAAGTCCATCGCCTTAACCACTCGGCCACGACTGCCTGTCTACAGCCCTACAAGAAAACTTTCATTTCAATTCCACATGCAACGACACATTTCTAAGCATTTGTATTTGATCACTGACAGGTGTTGGCTTTCCTTTTTATTTAGATCAATGTTACACTGTGCAAAGTTGATGTGATGTGCTAATGCATTCCCTCAAGTAGATGAACCATTTGTACGAAGTTTAAATAATTTTATTAACCTGTTCGTCGATACAATTAAATTGCATTCATATTAATTTCTTGCTGTTATACCAATCAAAGGATGTTTCTTTTTTAACCTCTTACTATTACTCTATTAAAACGTGCAGCATGGTGGTGGAGGCCATGGCAGCAAAGATATTTGTTTCTAGTGTTCAATAGACTTGTACGGCATGATGTATGACGCATATACGGCATGAAGCTTTTGTCAAAAAGAATATTTGTTTTCTTGCCAGATGTTTCTTCATTAAATTTGATTTTTATTTGCTTATGATCTTCATCTAAGCTAACTGCACGACATGTATGCTTCTTTTGTTAGCATTAGTAAATGAAGAGAAATTTATTAATATTGTAAGATTTCTGAAAAATATACTATATTTGCTGATTAATGTTGTCCAAAAACATAAAAATGAGAAAAAAATTTTAATTTAATGGGATAAAAATGTCCATGAATAATTTTCAGTAAGTTAATATTGAATGTATATATAGAAAATAATTATATTTATTATATCATCCACTCAAATCAACGAAAGACGTATGTCGTAATGAATACTTTCAGAAACGAGAAATATTTGATGGATATTGTTGCAATTGTTATGATGGAAGCCTTTCTGGTCAAGAGTTAGGTTGTTTGCTGGATAATATTTTGTAATAAAATAATAATATTTTTTATAATAATATGGAATATATTTTGATAATATTTTGTTGCTGGAATATTTTGCAGCTTTCACTTAAATGACGCTGAAATGTGACCTTGTCATCATTAAAAAACATTTTGTACAGATTTTCTATACTGTTCCTGTAGTTCGTTTGTGACATAAAGAGGGCAAAAATTATTCTTTTTTTACCAAAACTTGCATTCGAAGTATTTCAAATTTTTAATGCAATTATGACAGGGTCTCAAAATCAATATTTAGAAAACTATAAAAGGTTTGCAACTAAACATAGTAAATAAACAAAAAAAAAAAAAATGCAATTGAATAATTACTTTTACTTTGTTAGTAAAATATCATTGCACGTGAAACCGAATACAAATAAATAAAGTAACTTGTAAGAGCATAATTTTTCAAGAACAATTTCAAAAGAAAAAAATCATTGTTAATTTAAATACTTTAATATTGACGAATCTCAGTTATTCATAATATTATACTGGCTGTGTATTCAGCTATCTGAAAGTCCAGTATTCACAAATTATTTTAATTAATTACAGTATTCACAAATTATTTTAATTAATTACAGTATTCAGCTATCTGAAATTATTTTAATTAGAATAATTAAAATATCTAATTTAAAATTGCAAACAAAATAAATTGAGGATGAATCAAAACCAATGAAATCAATACAAATAATTTAGTATATAGCTAATTTCAAAGGTTGAAACTATATTTTTATTTTAGTATATTTTAGCGGAAACGGCGTCCTGAGAAAAATGCTCAGTATAATATTCATACTGTAATTTGTCATTCGAAACGATTGAAAGCCGATTATAATTTTTTAATAATCGAATTTTTTCTTTTAAATCAACACCTGTAAATAAATCAGTGTCTTCTCCGGGTTTTTGGCATTATAAATCCGTAGGCTTGGAAATTATTCCATAGGGTTCGAAGAGGTCCGCCAGTGGGTGTGAACATTTGGTTTATTTACTACAATTTAGTGCCTACTTAGCTCCAAATAGCACCGCTAAAATGTTTGCGCAAAGTTGCATGGACGTTATGCATCCTAAACAACTCTGAATCTGCTACGTATTCTGCTAAAGTGGTAAATGATTTCAATTTAAACAGATATTTGAAAACAAACAACCTAAAAAATAAATTGTTTTAAATTTTAATGTAATAATGTTAACGTGCTCAAAAAGAGTTGTTCCTTTAAATATAAAAAATAGATAATTGTCATTCACTTTACTGTCTCTTTCTTCAGCAAAATTTTTTGAATAAAAGACGAATAAATATTCAATGATAAATTTAAAAATAAATATCCATTTGTGAAATGTGAAGAAAATTCAGAAAAGGAGGGATTTTTACACTTTGTTCAGATTTTAAAAAGAATTAAATTTAAGAATGATTTAAACTCGGCAGTTGGTAGGAGTTTTAAATCATCGCCCCACGATTGCGAGTTTAAAAAGTCTATTTAATAATATAAGCTAGAGATAAAATATTGTTTATCTTTAGCCCGATGCTGTTTATAGCTATAGAAAACATTATAAAAAGTACAAACTCATCAATAGATATAAAACACTTTTTATTCTTATACAATCCATGTTAGGAAAAGCATTCATTTCACCACATTGTCCTGATTTTTACAAAAGAAAAAGGAATTTAATTCTTTCATTAAACCCAACTCGCAGTCGGGAGGATTCGAACCTACGCGGGGAAGATCCCAATGGATTTCCTAATCCATCGCCTTAACCACTGGCCACGACTGCTCTGTTGAAAGTGGTAAAATATTGTTTTTATGTTTAATCAAATATTAATTATAACGAGATTAGAATGGAATTTTAGATAATGGATCGTGTCTATTTTAATCATTGTTAAATAATCTAGTTTTGATTCTGAATTTGCCAATGCTTACAAATTGCAGCTCACTTTTTACCCATAAAATTATGGGTATTATTTTCCAGTGGGGTTTTTGACCACTTTTTCCATGTCCTTACCACTTTCATTTTTTTATTTTTTAAAATCTTTTATACGTAATATTTTTTCTTATTATGTAATATTTTTTAATTTCTTTAAAAGCTTTTTTTTTATACATAATATTTTTATTTATATTTTTTTTTTTTTATAAAAGTAACTTCGAATCAGTGTTGCAGAAAAAAAGGAAATTGAAGTTTTTAAACAGGTCATGAATCAGATGTTAAATTGAAATGACTGTTGGTGCAGTAATATATATGTTTTTTTAAATTACGCAAAGAAAACAATTAGCTAAAATAAAACTTAATTAACGCCATGTCGTTTGCATAATTTTCATCATTTTTTTTTAAATTTCAATCACTTTTTTTTTAAATTTCTCATTCTCGCAACTGCATTTAAACGCAGCATTTACAATAATTATGCATGCAATTATAATTACATATGCAATTGATATATATTTTTTTCAACGCAGCTTGGCAAACAGCGACGCCTAAGGCAGCGCTGCACAGACGTTACTCACTTTGCATTACCCAGGGGGCGCGTGTAACTTGAAGATAAAACCACTTCTGACGCGCAGTAACAATACACCCGCAACGCTCTATGGATCCTATTAGACTGGGACCCTTACGGTTTAAAGTGGATTCCGAACCACTACACATCCATGCCACAGCCGGGACTCGCACCCGAAACCCGTGGCAATGGGCGCTAGAGCTCTAACCACTCGGCCATTCAGGATATATATTTCCACTCGGCCCTTGATATATATTTAAAATAGAGAAAATTTTTAAACAGGTGATCCTAAAGTCGGGACAAGCTTTAAAAATTAATAATTCTAAAACAAATATGCATAAGAAGATGCCGTTTACAGAAAGAATGGGGGTGGAGCAATTTTTTCTTCAACAATAAAAATAAACGCTAGAATACATCTTTTCACCTTTAATCAATATATGAATGGCATGGTCAAGGTACATAATAGTTGTTCAGTGGTGTATAAGAGTAGCTTTAGCTGAAAATCGCTTTTGTTCTCTTCTCTTCCTAAAGGTGTTTTTATACATGAAGAATGATAATTTCGGAGGGAGAATATTCTATTAGTGCTTTGACAAACGTTCGTTACGCTCAGAATTCGGCGAGTATCGCGTCCTCAATCAATTCTTGCAGAGTCTGATCATTTGATCTCATATCTTGTGATTTGTTGTTGTGGGCATACTTGATTTAAAAGCACTTTGAAATAGCGTCCTTAGCAACATTGAACGAGGAATTTAGAACGTGCATTTCCTACCACCAAGAATGTTGCAGAACGTTACAATCAGTAGTGGTCATCGCCCGATAACCGTGTAGCTGAAAGGATGCGAGCTATCTTTATTTATTATGCTTTATTATATATATATTATCTTTATTTCTTATGATATAAGGGCATTGTTTTAAAGATTTATATAAAAACCTCGCCGCAGTTGGCAGGATTCAGAACCTGCGCGGGAAGATCCCAATGGAGTTTCAAGTCCATCACTCTTAATCCACTCGGCCACGACTGCTTCTCAAGCTGACCATATGTACTTGAAGACATTTCCATTTCCATTTACCCATATGGAACGTCATATTTCTGAGATTTTGTATTTGATTGCTGACAGGTGCTGCTTTTCTTTTTATTCCGTCCTCAGTGCATTGAACGGAGAGAATTCTAGAAGTATGGCATACCACCAAAAATGTTGCTTAATGTTGCAATCAATGTGGGTGCCTCGTCCGACAGCGCCCTGTGCACATCTACTCAAGGAGTATCAAATTAAAAGT